ATTACAAAATTATATTAATTATTAATTTATATACCAATTACTACTGAATCAAAAAGGTGAAGCCAAAATTACTTTCTTAGTGACAAAAATATACGTGACTTTTATGTTTTAAAAAAAAAAACGAGTAATGCTTATTAATGATAATGGAATGGGTTAAAATGATTAATTGGCGATTGATGATAAAAGTATAATAACTATAAATATAACGATAATTAAAACAACAAAAAGATATAATAAGAAAATAATAATAGTGATAATGATTAGGGTAATAAGAAATGATTAAGACTTCAATATTATACAAGGCAAGCAATAATAATTACAATTCGAAGAAAGTAAAGTCCAAGAATTATATTAATTAAAGCACCAGTAACAGACACGAGCAAAAAATTTTTTATTTTCCTCACAATTATGCCGTCATCTCATTAAATGCAATGAACCAACACTTATTTTCTTTTCTTTTTTTCCTCCTCTCTCTTTCTTTTTTTTTTTTTTTTTATCTTTTCTCTCTTTTCTTAGCACGCAGCGCTGACCCGGAAGTACTAGCGAGAGGTCACGCGGAGGTCACGGAATACAAAGAGAGGAAATGCTGTTAATCGATGGGTCATGTACTGCCGCCATGATACAGGTATGCGCCCGGTTATTGTGAGTTATTTTCATAAAGGGTGATTGCGGGCAATGACCATTCTCATTCATCTATGTATCGGAATATAGTTTGCCAGGTGATATCTGCAGATAATAATTATATTATAAGGATATTTTCATCTATGTATCGGAATATAGTTTGCAGGTAATATTGCAGATTGGTAATTATAAGGATTTCATGTATTTATCGGAATAGGTTTTATAGGTAATAGGCAATTAATAATAATAAGGATTTTATTCATATATCGGAATAGATTTTGCTGGTAATATATCGGAATAGGTTTTATAGGTAATATGCAATAATGATATTATAAGGATTTAATTTATATATCGGAATAGGTTTGCTGGTAATAGGCAAATAATAATGCTAAGGATAAGTTATATGATATAATAATAATAATAAAAAAAATGCATACTATAATTATTACTGTTTCTGCTATTAATTTAATCATGATGATAATGGCACTGCTGCTATTACTACTATTACTACTAATACTAATATAGATGATAATATGTAAAAATACCGATAAAAATATGACAGTAATAATGACAATGATGATAATCCTCTTCATACTATTACTACTGCTGCTGCTAATGATAAAAATAATACTATCATAACAATAATAGAAGGAATAATGACATAAACAACAATAATAACGATAATAATATACTGATAATGGTAATGACAATAATGATGATAATAACAACTACAGTAATAGCAAAGTAATATTGAATGATAATGAAATTAATAATAATAATAATAATGATAATAATAATAATGGTATAAATAATAATAATAATAATAATAATAATAATAATAATAATAATTAATAATAATAATAATAATGATAATAATTATAATGTCAACAACAACAACAATTTTAGAATGACAGTAATAGTAATAATAATGATGATAACAATAACAATAACAACAGTAATGATAATAATGATAGCGAAGAAATGAGAATGATGATAACATAAACTTTAATCATAAAATCGCGATAAAAAAGAATAACTATAAAATCACCCCCATGAAATCCTCATTATTATCCAAACCCTTTCTAATAATAATAGTATTACTGATCCTACAAACTATCTGGCTAACACAACCATCATTATTAGGTCAAATTACACACACGACTGCTTCGCTAACAAAACTATCATTATTTTAACAAATTACAGAGGGCCACCCGTGTACTTTATAGAGTGGGAGAGTGATGAGAGAAAATGAGAGAGGAAAGAGGTGTGAGTGGGTGAGGGTGTGGATGGGGGTGGTGGTGGGGGGGTTATGTGTGAGGGAGGGGAGAGAAGGGAGAAAAGTAGGTATGAGGAGTGGGGGAAGGATAGTATGTGAGGGGAGGGGGGTGTAAATAGGTATGAGGGAGTGGGAAGGTCGTATGACAAGGGGGGGGGGGGGTAGGGCAAAGGGAAGGGAGGGGGAGACAGTACAAGGAAGAAGGGGGGGAGAAAAATTAATCTAAAGGTAGGAGAGGAGAGAGAAAGGGGGTTAGAGAAAATAATATGAAGAGAGTAGCTGGAAAAAAGGGACGATAATGAGGGGAGGAAGTGAGAGAAAAGGGAATATGGAGGAGGGGGAGGGGGGAAGAGGGGGGGAAGTGTGAGTCACTCCCAGCGGTCCCTAAACTGCTGGGTAATTCAACGGTTACCGAGGATCGATACCAATTACTACCAACAAGCGAACGACGGTAGCCAATCCCGTGGGAAATCTCTTTATGGATATATTTACGTCGTATTTTTGTAGTTGTTGTGTTTTAAAAAAAATCGTTGTATTATTGTGTTATTTTATTCTTTTATGGTTGTTGGTTTGTTTGTGTATGACGTACTGTAGCTACATTTATTATTTTTGATAAGTACTGTTTCATGTTTTATTGTTATTATAGAATGTGATTAAGATCAAACACGCTTGACGAGTATCAAAGAAAAATGTGTTTTAAAGTAACTAATGGCGGGCAAAGAACGTTATTTTATTAATAGACTCTTTACTAAACTGACTTAACCTGATTTCACTCTCACGTTTATTCATCCTAATCACGTTTATTAATGAACGGCTCCGAAGTGGAAGCGGAAGCGTTTTCGTTCAGAAATTTGCGAAATAAGCAGACCTGGTGAGCATTTTTTTTTTTTTTTGGGGGGGGGGGGGGAGGCAACTTCGAAAACACATAAAACATAAAATGATAGTCTGCGTCTTAAATCTTTTACATTGTTCATTCACCTATTTTACTCTAAGTAACAACTCAGCGGTGAATATACCAACGGGGAATACAAACGATTCTTCAAATTGTAGTTATAAGAAACATGCAAAGGTAGATAAATAATATAATACTATAAGTCAGTTTTTTTTTTTTATTATTATTTTTTTCATTATTTTTTTTTCTACCTAGGAGCCCTTCGATACTTCGTGGTTGAAAAGTTTGCAATCAAAATTATTTTTTATTTTTTTTTCTCCCTGTTGCAGATTCGAACTCGCAGGATCGCGAACCAGGCGCCCCCCCCTAACCCACTCGACCACAAAATTAATGAATAAATGATAATAACGATAATGACCCACTTGACCACGATATTAATGAAATAGATAATGATAATTAATGATAAATATAAAAGAGAATAAATATTGTTCAAGCCCATCCCCCGGATCCCGAGAGTGTGATGGCAAGAAGACTTATGGTATCTAGCTACTTACACAGGGAATAAGACCACAGGCTGTTATGATGGCGAGAGAGAGAGAGAGAAGGGAGGAGAGGGAAGAGAGAGAGAGAGAGAAGAGAGAGAGAGAGAGAGAGAGAGGGAGAGGAGAGAGGAGAGAGAGAGAGAGAGAGAGAGAGAGAGAGAGAGAGAGAGAGAGAGGGAGAGAGAGAGAGAGAGGAGGGAGGGAGAGAGAGAGAGAAGAAGAGAGAGAGAGAGAGAGAGAGAGGAAGGAGAGAGAGAGAGGGAGAGAGAGAGAGAGAGAGAGAGAGGGAGGGAGGGGAGGGAGAGAGGAGAGAGAGAGAGAGAGAGAGGAGAGAGAAGAGAGAGGAGAGGAGAGAGAGAGGAGAGAAGAGAGAGAGAGAGAGAGAGAGAGAGAGGAGAGAAGAGAGAGAGAGAGACAGAGACAGACAGAGACAGAGAGAAAGAAAGAAGAAAGAAAGAAAGAGAGAGAGAGAGAGAGAGTGGAACCCTGAAGTCTGGCAGGGTGGTTCGCTTCAGTCACCGAACACAGGCAGGAGGGCTTAAGCGTGGATTCCGAGTGGATATACGTACCAGTATGATCGGGTTTGGTAACGACTGTCGGGTAGAGCAGCCTCGCCAATGGGAAAATGTGGAATATGTATTAATTTTTTTTCGGATTGTTCTATTCAATGTTATAGATATTATTTAAATAAAGATTAAACTTGCGATAGAGCAAGGAATTGTCTTTCCAGCGTTCACACTTGTCAATGACGATCATCATAAATTACAGAATAAAAAAAAGGTTAAATGAAAAAAGCTCAAACTCAGTAAGGAACTATATACTATTTCGGTATTAAGGCCAGGGTACGGAAGGGGGGGGGGGCTAAAAACAAAGACGACAAACAACAGTGAAAAACAAGTAAACAAGATAACTAACACTTCACTTTTTACATCACATCATATCCCCCACAACATAACAATCAGTTCATACTTTATTATCCAGTTACAAAGTTAGGTTATGAGATAGTAAAAGGTAATTATCCATAACTGGATTACGGTATGACAGCCATGTGTAGCGACAACGACCATAGACATACAACGAACAGTAAAGAGAATGAACTGCAGAATAAAAAATGTTGAGAACCACTGCTGTAAATGTTATAATGTCAGTGTTAGTATGCTGATGGTGACAATAATAAAATCCAAAATAGCTGTAATGTTGATAATGGTTACTGCATCACTGAGACTGTATTAAAATGACACCAAAATTACAACCATAACAGTAGCAACGATAAGATTATACAGTGAGACTTGCCATAAACATCACCATAATATAGATAGAATTAACAAATGATGATAATAATGATGCTACTACTACTACTACTACTACTACTAATGCTATTATTACTGCTGCTACTGCTACTAATAATAAGGGTGCTAATAGTAGAGTTGTAGTAGCTTTGGAATTACTAAAGATATTTTTAGTAGTAGTAATTTTAATAATGGTAATGTTAATTATGACAAAGGTGATAACAGTAATGATGCTGATAATGACGATAATATTATTACTAACAATAATCATAATCATCCATATAACTGATATTTTACGATTTGTTAAATAAACATCACATAATGCAGATATATTCGATATACACAAGTCTACCCTCTACGTTCTTCAAAGAAAATGGTCCTCTTACCTTTCACATCAGGGGTACTATTCTATTTCCTCCATTGTCTCCATAGTTGATATTTTTTGTTTCTCGGCATCCACTCGTTTCTTCTGTTTATTTAACATCACAATTTCCTCAGTTTTTGAGATGTATTATTTTTTTTTATTTAAGATGATGCTCCAAGATCAAAAAAGTTCGGAAATGATAAAATCAGAGAGATATTGTAGCTTAATCTGTAGCCATCGGTGCAGTATTTCTGGAGTTTTGAAGTAGTTTAGAGACTGTACAGTTCAAACTCGTATTTGAAAAGACGATAAACGACTTGGTCGCCATCGTGAGGGGTTTAAGAATTAGTATCTTCACGTCTTCTGTTTATAATATTTCTTATGTCACTGAGTTCGTTATTCCTGCGTTACTGAGCATCTGCAGACCCATACGGAGCGACTGTTAGCTGGAAATGCGAGAACTTTTATTCACTGCATTTCCCTTCCGAATTTTGTTGATTAGTTGCATCTTTTTATCGTCAGTCGAAGCTCGTCCAGATTTCCTCTTGTTCTCTTCATTCATCATTCTTGCAGATTATATCACACACTCATCTACAGCTATACTTTATCCAGGTTAACAACAAGTGAGGGGGAACTATTTACACAGCGATGGCATAACGACTAATAATATTTCTCGAAGTATTTGTATCTTCTCTGGGGCAGTTCGTGGATGGTGTTGTAGTAGGTGTAGTCTGGCGGCGGGAGTTCGCTGTGGTAGGGCAGGCCGGGCACGCGCATGGGCAGGAACCCGAGGAAGTTGAAGATGCTCAGGGGAATGACGATGGTCCTCAGCTTGCCCGTCTTGGTGAGGAAGCGCTTCTGGCGGCTGTGGGGCTTGTCGGCGGGGGTGGTCGTCTTCCGGGGCAGGAGGAAGGCGATGACCTTCTTCGTCTGGGGTCGAGGGAAGGTCGAGATCGCAACCTCGCTCTCGGCCTTCGGATTCTCGGGCGTCTCGGGAGCCTGCGAGAGCCCGGCCTTCGGAGTCTCGGGCGTCTCGGGAACCTGCGAGAGCCCCGACTTGACCTCCTCCTTCGGCTCGGAGATGCCAGGCTCCGTCAAGTGGGACTCGACGGCCGTGAGCTCGATGTTCCGGTCGACCATGTCCTGGAAGAACTTGGCGCTCGGGTGGTCGTCGTGGATGCCGTTCTCGAGGGGCAGCGGCGGGTGGGGGGCGAGGTGCAGCTCGTTCCCGGCCAGCTGCTGGAGGGGCTGCTGGCGGAGGGCGCTGCCTTCAGCCATCACCAACAGCACCATCCCGGCCGCCATCACTGTTGGAGGAGAGAACAACACACTGGTCAGGGAAATTGGACTTTTTGGTAAACGAGATAGAGTAAAAAATGACATTTTTACGTGGACATATAAGAGAGGTAGATAGATAGATTAGACAGAGAAAGAGAGAGATAGAGAGATTAGACACAGAGACAGAGAGAGATAGAGAGAGAGATTAGACAGATAGAGGGAGAAAACAGAATCAGAGAGATATAGAGAGAGAGGGAGCGAGAGAGATAGAGAGAGAGAGAGATTAGACAGAGAAAGAAAAAAAGAAAGAGAGAGATGGAGGGTAAACAAATATGAGGATGTGGAAAAACACGAAGAGAAAGCTGGACATGTACACGGGCGGGGGGACACCCACAAGAAGGAAGGAGAGACGCGACAAAGAAAGACAGGAAATGGCAGAGACATACTTTACTTTGTACACACATTTCCCTCTTGATCTATTCATATTATTCAGTGATCTCATTGTTTCTGAAGTGAGTGAGAGAGAGAGAGATGGAGAGAGGAAAAGAGAGAAAGAGAGAGAGAGAGAGAGAGAGGATGATAGAGAGAGACAGACAGAGAGAATGATGGAGAGAGGAGAGAGAGAAGAGAGAGAGAGAGAGAGAGAGAGAGAGAGAGAGAGAGAGAGAGAGAGAGAGAGAGATGGAGAGAGGAAGAGAGAGAGGAGAGAGGAGAGAGAGAGAGAGAGATGGAGAGAGGAAGAAAGAGAGAGAGAGAGAGAGAGATGGAGAGGGGAGAGAGAGGAGAGAGGAAGAGAGGAGAGAGAGAAGAGAGAGGAAGAGAGAGACAGAGAGAAAGAGAGAGAGAGAGAGAGAAAGTTTCTAAAAAAGGATTTACAGAGACTTAAAAGGAAAATGAAAGGCGAAAGACGATTGCCACGCTGCAACAAAACAGCAAAATCCCTCAAAATAAACAACTACAACAAAAAGGAATGAGGAATAAGCTCAGAAAGTTTCATCAGATACAAAATTGTCCCTTTTCTCAGGCTTTGATCTATTGATTTTCTTTTATCAATCCACCCAACAACCACCCTTACACCCCATCACACACACACGCGCACACACACACACACACACACACACACACACACACACACACACACACACACACACGCACACACACACACACACACACACACACGCCACGCACGCATACACACACACATCACACACACACACACACACACACACACACCACACACACACCACACACACACACACCACCACACACACACACACACAACCCACACACACACACACACACACACACACACACACACACACACACACACACACACACACACACACACACACACACACACACACACATATATATATATATATATATATATATATATATATATATATATATATATATATATATATATATTAGTGTAGAATTTTCAACTGAATGGATATTCTACGTGTTGAAAGTGTTTCTGCCAAGTGTGACAGAAGAAGATTAAACACAATCCGCATACAAATCCATCTTCTGAATCTTTTGTGAACCTCCTTATTTCCAGAAGCCTCAAGGGTCAAATTTGCGCGAGTCCGATCTCGGCGCCCGGGCAAACAAATGGTCGGTTACAACAAAGAAACAATAGCACACGTGTTTGAAAGTTGGAAAGCGGGCTGCATTTGTATTATTTCTTGTGTCTGAGAACGGCTTTCGGAAACTTACCGGCGCCATTGTGAATATGCGCATTAAGAGAAAGGGGAGAGAGAGAGAGAGAAAGATGGGGGGAGGAGGGAATAAGGGAGGGAGGGAGGGAGGGGGGAGGAAGAAATAGAGGGAGGGAGAGAGATAGAGAGAAAGAGAGGGGGGAAGGAAAAGAATATGCGCATTAAGAGAAAGGGAGAGAGAGAGAGAAAGAGGGGGAGGAGGGAATAAGGGAGGGAGGGAGGGAGGAGAGAGAGAGAGAGAGAGAGAGAGAGAGAGAGAGAGAGAGAGAGAGAGGAGAGAGAGAGAGAAGAGAGAGAGAGAGAGAGAGAGAGAGAGAGAGAGAGATTTCTAAAAAGGATTTACAGATACACTCAAAAGAAAAAGAAAAGCGAAAGACGACAGTCACGCAGCAACAAAACTCCAAAATCTCTCAATAGAAAAACAAACAACTGCAAAAAAAAAAAAAAAAAAAAAAAAAAAACGCATGACGTCATCCAGCGAAAGATTTAAGACGAAATCAGACAAATAGGAAAAAAAACTTTTCGAAAAATCCCGCAATTATTCGAGCCGTTATTATAGCATACCCCTATAGAGATTTAACCTATTCGATAGTGAATCGTGAGTTTTGCCATTTCACCTTTACGGGACGGCATTGGAAGCTGCCCACTCGCTCGCCGGAGACGAATCAGCTGATGAGAAAAACAACTCCAGCTGATCGGAAAACAAGAGGCAATAGAAAACGGGAATACGAAAGAATACGAAATATGAGAGAACGGAAACAATAATATAAACGAAAGAGTGTTCATATAAATAAGAAAACAAATACATAAAGATAAACCGAAGAAGAAAAACGGAATAGAAAGGGAATTATGAAAAAAAATCATCTGATGAGAAAACTGAGAGGCAATAGAAAACGGGAATTTAAAAAAGAAAACGAAATAAGAAACAACGGAAACAATTATATAAACGAAAACCGGATCATATAAAAGCGAAAACAAATAGATAAAGCCAAACCGAAGAAGAAAAACGGAACAGAAAGGGAATTATCATAGAAACAAAACGGAATATAAAATGGAATTATGAAAAAATCAGCTTATGAGAAACGAGGCAAGAAAGAAAACGGGAATTTAAAAAAAGAAAACGAAATAAAGAACAAGAAACAATTATATAAACGATAAACGGATCATATAAAAGCGAAAACAAATAGATAAAGCCAAACCAAAGAAGAAAAGCGGAATAGAAAGGGAATTATCATAGAAAAAAAAAATCATCTGATGAGAAAACTACAGGTTATAGAAAACGGGAATTTAAAAAAGAAAACGAAACAAGAAACAACGGAAACAATTATATAAACAAAAACGGGATCATATAAAAGCGAAAACAAAATAGATAAAGCCAAACCAAAAAAGAAATAACGGATAAAGAAAAGGAAATTATCATAAGAAAAAATAAGGAAAGGCGGTTGAAATATAATCTCGTCAGAGAAAGTTCGCCAGATGTTTGTTCCGTAACAATGTACATATCTTTCCCTCCATTCTCGTGACTTGAAAGTTATTTATCTTCATGCCTAGACTTTCCTGCAGACTGCAACAAAGGCTTTCTATTTCCATAATTGTTTAATTAAATCTACAACCATGGAATGTTGGAGTGGTGACTTTAATTCATAATTGTTTAATTTAAATCTACTAAGAGATAAATTGAAGAAAATAGAAATGAGTTGAGAGTGTGACTTCTTATTTCCATAATTTGTTTATTTTAAAATCTATATTCAAAGAATAAGTTTGAATTGAATAAAATAAAAAATATGATTAAGTGATAAGAATTTGCATGGGAACAGAAGAAAAAAATATTAATGGGGAGGAGAAGAAAGAAATGAATAAAGAAATGAAGGAAGAAGAAAGAAAAAAACTAAAGAAAATAAAAAATTACAATAAAAAAAAGTAAAAATGAATATAGAAGAATGCAGATAAGAGGGAGACGAAGAAAAAAAAGACGATTTTAACCTAAATTCATAAATACATTAAAAAAAATGGTATTTGATCCCCCATGGAGTCTGTTGCGTCCTGTTACACCTTTGCCTTCATTTCGCTTAATCATTCACTCTCTATAGTATCCGATTCCCGTTAGAAACTCCGAAAAAAAAGTGTAAAATCATCTATAGGTGTTTATCTTTTGTCTGGATTATTTGCCGTCTTTCCCCTATCTCTCTTTCTTTCTTTCTTTCTGTCTCTCTCTCTTCCTCTTTTTCTCTTTTTTATCTCTCTCTCTTTCTCTCTTTCTTTCTTTCTGTCTGTCTGTCTGTCTTTCTTTCTTTCTCTCTTTCTCTCTCTCTCTCTCTCTCTCTCTCTCTCTCTCTCTCTCTCTCTCTCTCTCTCTCTCTTATCTCTCTCTCTCTCTCTCTGTCTCTATCTCTCTCTCCCTCCCTCCTCTCCCATCTCCTCTCTTTCACTCTCTCCTCTCTTCTTTCTCTCTTTTTCTCTCCTTCCCCTCCTCTATCTCACTTTCTCAGAAATAGAAAATAAATATGTCGCAATATTTTATTCTCAAAAGTCATCCAGCACATAACATAACAGAGGCAGAGTTAGGTGTTAGTTCAAGTTCTAGTCAAGGTGTTAATTAAGAAAGTGTCGGAAGTGAAGGTGTTATGCTATTGTAGAAGGAGAGTGATAAGGAGAAAGAGAGAGCAAATGATTATATTTTCTATTTGTCTTTTTTATTTATTTTTTTATTAATAGATTTTTTCTTTTTGTATTTGGGGTTTATATATTATTTGGTTTATTTATTGTTCTTTGTTTTTTTTTTTTCTTGCTTCTTTCTTTAATCTTCCCATTTCTTCATTTAGCTATTTCACTGCTTCTCATTCTCTCTATCATTATTATTGTCATTGTCATTATTTTCTTTACTACTTTTATTATTATTACTATTATCGTTATTATCATTATTATTACAAATATCATCTTTTTTATTATTCTTATTACTATTATTATTGTTATCATTATCATTATTTTCATCATTAGTAGTATTACTGTTACCATCATGATTATTATTGTTTATTATCATCATTATTGTATATTATCATTATTATTATTGATTATTATTACCATTACTGTTAATCAGTATTACTATTATTATTATATCATTTTTTTATCATGATCATTATCATTATCATCACTATCATTATCATTACATCACTATCATTATCATTACCATATTATCAATTATTATTTCACCATCATCAAAATCACAGTTACAGAGTAGAAGGGAAAGTCTTTAGCCAAGGGAGTCCCCACCACACTCCCCATCCCCCCGCCTCCCTCCTCCCTCCTCC